AAATTAAACGAGATTATACAATCATAAACTTTCCAATACAGAATTTCGGATATTAAACCATCGAAAAAGTGAAATTAACATCCAAAATTATTACTCAAATTCTACTAAAAACTAAATTACAAAAAAAAAAAAAAAAAAAAATCATTTTTCAATTAAGAAATACGATATGATTGATATGCAGGGAAAAATATTACCTGATGCCTGTAATTCCAGTAACCATTGGAGCCGGCGATCAGAACAGCCCACCTGGTCCCGACGGTGCCGTCGTCTTGCTGATCGGGAGCATCATCGCCTCTCCCGAAGAATCTGGAAGCTTCCGACGGTAATCGCAAAACGTCTCCAATCAGGTCCCGGCTACCGGCTGCGGAAGCCAAGACGGAGGCGAGAAATAGGAGGACGACGGCGCCGGCAAACCGAGTCATGACGTTTCCGGTGAATTTTTGGGGTGCCTGATTGGTAGAGGTTCAAGGTTGGGTGCATATTTATTGGTGATCACGTGGGCCTTTCTTTGTCAGTTACTTTCATGATCAAGTTGCGGGCCCCATCGGAAACGCTTTGGTTGTGCAGTTCATGCAATCTGGGACGTACACGTCAGCGCCATGTCTGGGGAGACGTAGTCTATCTTTTCCCGAGCCAACATGTTCCGGGAATTACAAGCGCATAAAGTTTCAAACAATTTTAATATTTTATGTAAAATCGATAGTCTGTATTCGATTATTATATATTATAAAGCTTCTAACAAACATTAGACGCTAATCCGGCAGTACGTCGGGATTTAGCGTTTAAGAGGAGTCAAAATGAATTTAAGTAAATTTATTATATGTCATGTTAAATAAGTGTCTGGTTATACTTAATATTATAATTTCATTATAAACTACAAAATAGAACAACATATATATTATGAAGTATTGTAACATAATGACACATGAGGAACAACAATATAATGTGTTCATTTAAGTATACAACAAGTCTCTTACAATTTATTAAAAAAATAGAATGCAAAATAAAAGTTATATATTTTCTGTCTAAGTGAGTCGCGACCTAAGCAGGTGCCTAGGCGGGTCTAGGCGAGCTAAACATGTGCCTAAGTGGACAACTCAGCAGGTTCAGGCGCCCTTTCATAATTTTCAAACCCTATGCATTAATCAAAACGGTGGTCTAGCTGCCTAGCACCTAGGCGGAAATTTTTAGAACAACGTATATTGGGAGTTGGATTTCGAATACAAATAAGAAGTACACAATTCTAACTAATGTAACAAAGTTTATTAGAAACTCATGTGACTTATTATTGTTTTTGGGTCGATGTGTATTTTTGGTTCTATTATACGGAAAAATACTTAAGGATGGATAATCAAGCTTCAAACTTTGAGCGTAAAAATAGTTACTTTTAATCATTTCAACTATAAGTTATTAGCAATCAAGGTGTGGTTTAGCATTGTTGTTCGTGGCAAAATAACAATTATGTTCTCCCAATTGAAATTTAGTTGGTGAAATTTCAAATTGCTTGTCCATGCTTTTATTTTAGCACTAACGTGAGCACAAGTTTGTAATTTTTATTTTTGCTATATTGGTTTTACTCCTCCACGTGTGTGTGTGTATATATATCGCTTGTATCAAACGATTAAACTTGGATAAATCCATAAAATATCACTTAAATATTTTGTGTTTTTTTTGTTTTGTTTTAAACAATCACATTATTTCAAAATGATACAAAAATGATGATGCATAAAAGGGTATCTAATTTACTATTCGATTTTATGAAGTAGAAGACAAGATTCCAGGCAATTCCGTGGTCAAGAAAACAAGTATCGACGATGACATGATGAATGTGGCCTCTCTCTTTTGTTTTTCTTTTCGAATGGATAGGATTCTTTCTTTTTTATTCCTATATCATTTTCTTCTTTACTCTTATATATTGTTTTTTATTTTATTATTTTTATAAAAAAATTAATATAAGATATTGACATCTAAAATTTTTTTATAGAGAAAGAAAATGATATAAGAATATACAAGAAGAAAAAAATATAAAGATGTTGACATTTCTCGTTGAATCATAACTGCTTAAATAAATAAAAAATAATTAAAGAAAAATTGGAAGGTAAAAAAAATCATATTCTATTTATCGAATCCAAAATTTCACTCTCCACCTTTCACATATCAACTCCAACACTGTTGTGGACTTTTATCATTCGCACTGCCCAGCGGGAGATGGCCTTTCATTATAAATATCCAATCTGGGCGGATTCAATGAACCTACACAAGATTCTTTTTTTTTTTTTTTTTTTTTGGTATTTTGTATTGCTGTAGAGTGTAGACTAGTGGCGGACGCCGGATGTACTGTGGTTTCAGGATTGTTCGAAGTTGAAAAATATACATGCGAAGATTTTCATCTTACATTTCGAATGTTGGTATGTGTACATATTTGTGCTAGTCATATTTGATGTAATACATGTTAAATATATTTTGGTAGTACTTGACAAGTTGTGTCGGAAGGATTCAATAAATCCTCTTCACGACACTCATCAGATTGCTTCAACATGTGCCTGGTATTTGTTGATATAAGCACAACATGGTTCAGTTGACAACAATAAGCTTACCTAAGTGTTCGACGAAATGCCTCAATAAATAAAATGAATTTTTTTTCCGCACTCCATGCTTTGTTTCCTTTAAAAAAACCTAGACCTTTAACATTGGAACCTTCAATGTTCAAATCTTGGATTCGCCACTGGTTTAGACTAAGCAGCGTGCTTCTTTTTAGCTTTCACAAATACTTCTCCTTGATTAAGTTTATGTTGAAATATTGTTCGAATGAAAAATGGGAAAAAAACAAAGGAGAACTAATGAAAATAGTTTGAAAACTTTGAGTTTTAATCAAAATGACAAAAATGTGTGGTAAGTGAATAGTAACATAAGTGATTTTTTAGAGTAAAAATATCATTTTTGTTAAAAGTGAATAGTACCGAAAGTGTTTTTTTAAAACTTCCAAAAAACAAAGCCTAAAGTTACCAATCTTACACACATAGTTGTTTTTAGAGTCTAACTATCGACTTAATCTTTTCTTTTCACGTAATACTCGGGCCAAAGTCTTATGAACAAATACTGCATGGAACTTTTAAGGTTTTTTTATTAACATCCCACATTAAAATTTAATGTTAAATTACTTATGTACCCTATTATACAATGACAATTTTAACCTTATTACGTTAAAACAAAAAATATTCTAAACACACCCTAAAACACTTTTAACCTATTATTTATCTTCTTCAACAATCAAAATCTCTCACTCCATTGTTAAACAAAACCCTAACCAAGCTATATGCGTTATTTTATTCTTTGATTTTGATTTCAAGGGAGATTAGTCCCACATATTTGCTTGTGATTTACCAGGAAACTTGTGATAGCATGTCCGGATTTATAGAACGAAAATGACATTTTAGTAATTTCACCAAGTTTGGGAAGCTTTTGGTGTTTTTTTTTTTTTTTAGAAAACATTATTTTTGAATCTTAATATGTGCGCCCGTGGGGCCCACTTACTTTTGATGTTGTCCCCCTCCACCCCATTATTCTCTTTTCTCTTCTCCTTCTCCCCGTGTCTCTCTTGGGAAAGTTTCACAGCTCTCTCTCTCTCTCTCTTACTATCTCTCCCTTTCTTAGAGCTCTCTCTCTCGACGCTCTCCCTCTCCCAGAGCTATACTCGCACCTATACTTGCAACCACTCATCACCACCCTCATTAAACACTTGGCATCGATGGAACCACCATCTGCTCCGGGGACATGACTTGGGACTCGAGGAAACTATGTTCTCCGATGATGGACCGCGACCTCACTTGGTTTTCCTGATCACTTCCCAACCACAATCGGACCTAACTATGGCCCAATTATTTGTGGTGTTTTCGTCCTCGCTAGTTTGCATGGCTCTTTGGTGGAGAAGTATCTAACATAGAATCGAGACGTATCATTCTGACGTCAAGGCACTTTTGCATTGACATTTTCAAGTCATCTCGGTGTAGGACCCATCCTTTTATTCATTCAGATTTATATTCTTTCATTTTTAGTGTTCTAATTAGTTGTATGCTCTGAACACATTATTCAATAAAATATTAATTATATTTAAATTTATAAGTCTTATTTATTCTAGTTCTCATGCATCCTAATATGGCTTCGTCACCTTCGGGTGTCAGCCAACACGTATCTACTCTGGTATTGGGAGAATATCGGGTCGGGCATGTCAAAACTCTACCACCCAAGCCTATTATTGATTGATTTAAGCTTAATATTTAATTACAATTCACAAAAAACCCGATTATCTGAAGGCTTCTCTCTTAGGAAGTTCTCACTATTTTCAATAGTGAATAACTGCAACATAACTCATTCCATTCAATGGTTAATAACTGCAACATAACTCATTCAATTCACGGTTAATTACTGCAATATAACTCATTCCGTTCAATTAGCGCCTCTTAAGTGACAATTTTTTTCTCTCCACATCAATCACATTGGATGTTAGAGTTTTACTCCAAAGTCAATATAATTTATAAAAATTAAAAATGAGTATTATAAAATTTGAAGAATGTGGGGTGTATGTAGAAAATGTAAAGTGTATGTTGGGAATGTGGGGTGTAGTAAAATAATTTTTAATTGAAAAAACAAACATAAGGTGTATTAAGTATGTATGATTTATTCAATAATATATGTCGTGTTAATACAATAAGCCACTTTTAAACAGAAAAATTTAACATTTTTTGATACATATAGAATTAATTATCAATATGACAAGTAGGCAAAATACTGAGAAAAGAAAATTGTATAAGTTATAGTTGACCAAAAAAAAAAAAAAAAAATCTTAAAATATCATCCTCTTAAGATTGTCCATCCATTGGGCTTGTTTAGCTATTAAAGGCCCAATGTGAGGGGAATATAAAAGAGCCCAATAACTTTCAGCCCATAACGGAGAGACCACTAAAATCCCAAATCCGTAAGAACGTATAAATATTCTGATTTCCAGGCACGCACCCAAACACAAGAACTATTGATTACCGCCACCACCGTCGCTTAGCCTTCTGTACTGTAAACCCACCATAACCTACGACGAAACGACGCCGCACGCCCGGGTTAGGCTTGATCGTCCTTGTACCTTGACCTAGCGCACAAATTCCAGCAGCTTAGAATCGGTAGGTTTTCGTTTTCTGCATGGTTAGGGTTTGTTCATTGCAAAAAAGAAAATCACAACAGATTTATGGAAGTTTGTTTCTTTTATTGTTTTTGTTAATTTTTTGGATGATTTTATGCGGATTATTTGTTGGTTGTAGACGTTGATTCGAATTAGGGTACGTAGGTCACTCTTCAACTTTTCGTCTGGAAAGTGTTTGATGTTTTGCCTCAGAGAAATTACAGTGATGGGTTTTCTGTTGAGATTTCATCAGAGCTGGAAATAATCTGTATTATTTTTTGGGTGCAGTTTTTACCAATTGAAGGAAGAGTTAAATGGAAGGAGAAGACAACGTATTGGATGCAGTATTTGAAGATGATGACTTCATGGATGGTGGGGATGTTGAGATGCTCGATGTCGAAGAAGGAGAGCTTGTGGATTTCAATTCACAAAGTGGGTATGGTTCGGGGCAGGGCAGTGGTAGGCAATGTCAGTGTAGCAAACCAAGAACGTCAGGGCCCGAATCAGAAGCCCAAGCCAAAGAAGAAGAAAAAGAAGAACAAGAAGAGGAATAACGGCCATTGGACTGCGAGTATTGGGACTGACATTGACAGGTTATGACCGCCCCAGTTAAGAACCAAAGTAATTACATGTTTTGGAGATCTTTTGTGGGTTTTAACATGATTTTGTTTGCTTTGCAGGTTTGTGATAGAGACATGTAAGCGACTGAAGGAGAGGAAATCGTATTTGGTATATACTGCTGTTGGTTGCTTGGGTATTGCTGCATTGAGTGATCTCATTAAAGAGGTATGGTACCCTTTGTTATGCTTTCGTGGAAATGCAAAGAAATTTCAGTTTATTTAACTCACGATCATTCTTGTTATCTTTTTATATTCTCTTTTTTTGCTCAACTGGCCTGCATTACTGTTTGTACATTGTAATCGTTCCACTGAAAATGTCTTTGGCAGACACCATTAGCGAGTACATGTTTATCTGAATTCAAGTGCCATACTTTTGCGATGTTCCGACCTTGCTGCTAGTGTTACAAAGTTTGTGCTGAGTACATCTGAGCTGGCTTTCCAGTGATGTTATCAATGAAAACCATCTAGTACAATTTTCCTGTCAATTCAGTAATGATAATCATGTTTTGGGCGAATGGGTTATGTGCCTGGACAACTTTATGGGTACTCTTTGAGGTTTCCTTTATACCCTGAGCCACCTGTATCCTTTTTTAGCCCACTTCACATCATAGCCTTAGGGATCAGACCTTGGTGCTAATGTCCGGAACATGGGCTTCGAACTCATAGATGGGTTTTTAGTGACTTCAATTGAGCATTATCTATTATGATTCTTCTTGTCAATTCTATTCTATTCCTTCTTGAACACTTCGGATCTTTTGCGAATTTGCTAATGGGAATCCTGGAATTTGGAGGATGAGTTATGCATCCAGAAATGCTTTATGGGTACTTTTAGGGTTGTTTTGCATCCTGATCCATCTGTTCTTTCTAGCCCATTCACATTTTAGCTTTACAAGGAAGTTAGGGACGTAGGGTACCCTTCAGTGAGAATGGACTTGAATAATTCAACTGAAATTTTCGACGGGAAGGTGAGATTCTGGGTTGCTTAATGGATCAGCTTAGGGCTGACGATGCTTATCCACACTATTTGGCCATACAGCCTTTCATAATGTCTGATGCTCAGTATTGTTTCCCTACCCTTGCAGATTTCTCTTGCAGAAGCCATTTTGCTCCTTACAATCATGTGCTCTGAACTCTGATGTCCCCTGGATGACCACTCCATCGTGTGCTATTTGTGTATGTTGATGTGATTTTTTCTTAGCGTTACATTAGCCAATATGCATGCAAAACACATGTAAGAGATACGAGATGAAGCACTATCTCTTTTTCATTTAAGAAGCTCATCATTCATGTTTGCTCCTCCCCCAGGCACCACAAAGCTCTATCCCGGGATGGTTAACAGATTTTTTTTGTCATTGTGAACATCTTTGAGCTTGCTTTGATTGTAGGGAGCGATATTCTTAGTTAAGTATCTCCTTTGAGTAGTTTCGGAATTTTATTAGATGTGGTTGTTACAAGTATTTCTAAGTTTCAGTGTATTAGTTATTAATTACTTGCAGTCCAGAGAGAATCCAGTATCTGGAGAAAGGATATTTTTTCCCTGCTAGAGACCATGGCATAATCGATGATGAAATGATGAAACTTTTCAGGTGGATGCAATCCAGGCATGCGGAGGTCAGATGACTTCTGATGGCAGACGTTTCCGATATGGTGGTGGGATACTTTGGAATATCATTAAATCACGCGAACCAAAAGCCTATAGAGAGATAATGAAAAAAGCAAGGGACTTTGAGGTACACAATTAATCATATTTCATATAGTTTATGGTATTATTATGCCCAAACTTCAATTAAAATGTCACTAGAGTAAGAGGGTGTGTCAGTGACTTTTTTATGTTTTCTTTCCTCATGCAGAAGCAATTCAAGAAACCAAACAGACCAGCAATAGAGCAAAGGAAAGAAGGCTCATCTGCCAATTCATCCAAGGACGGTACTCCAGCCGATGTGCCAGATGATTTACCGGTCCTACGTGAAATGCAGACTCAAGCCAATCCGTCAAACCCCGAAGTGAAACACGTTTCTGTTCGTGATAGGTTAAGGTTGCCTGTTTCATATGATGATGACCTGCTTGGAGGGGAGCCCAAAGACGATCCACTTAATTGTTAGAAGAAATCGATATTTTTATCCGCTAGGAGTTTTTGTTTCTAGATCTACGGCAACAGGGTCCGGATCGACATTGAGTGTACTCCCAGACGAGAGTTTGATATGCAGAGAATTCTCTTTGTTTTTGTTTGCCTGGAGGCCACAGAATTTTTCTTCCCCTGGGGAAAGAGTTTTACTGAACTGTATCGGCGTTACGATATTGTGATGACAAGTAATATCTCAAAGAAATTTTGAAGAATGCTTTTTGCCCCTACGACAAGTCTTCCTCCGAGATGCGCCACTTGTTTGTGCTGTATTTGAGGAGGATCGCTAGCACGCTAGCTTCCTTGTTCTGCGTGTGAGGAGAACGACCTTTGTATGGAAGTTAAGCAAATATTTTGTGTGGGAGTTAAGGAAATTGCACGACTTTTATATGTGATATTAACGTTTATTATATTTTGAAACTATTTTTTTATTGATTTTTAAAATTAAAAAATAGAAAAAAAATAATACAAACTAGTAGTGGTGCCCGCAAAGAGATTTGTACGTGTCGAAAATCTTGGGAATATTCCAAAGTAGATTTATTAAACATGTGGTGTGACTATAACGATTTAAATTTTGTGTTATATTAAATCTTGTAAAAATCCTCAAAATTCATTGAAAAACGTGGTTTATAACTCACTATTGTTGTGAAAAAAAAAGGAAGAAATTTTGTGTTTTAATAAATATTTTGCGTACAAATTAACGAAAATATTACAAGACCTTTAAATGTGATCCTACCGTTTATTAGGTCTCAACATTACTTTTTATTAGTTTTTAAATTTTCATTAAATATATAGTTCTCGGACCTATATATCCCTCAGAGCTCGCGCGCTTGAGCTTTCCATGCGAATGTCAAAAGAAGGAGCTTTGTGAAAACAGTGGCCATTTTCGGAATTCACCATACAGGGCGAAAAATGTAATTTCACTTGAAAATGCAACGGTTCGCTCCTATTTGTGGTTGCGTCTATTTTCTTCCTTCATCTATTTGTCTTGTGAGAAATTCAGCGATCGAAGGGAAAGAGAGATGGCTTGCTTGCACAATCACAGCTGCGAAGATCACGATTGTTCGTCCGGTTGGACTCTCTACGAGCATATTGACCTCCCCAAGGTCCCTAAATTCTCTGCCTTTCTTCTTTTCTCACTCTTAATTTTACGATTCCTGCTCTCTATATGTGATTTTTTTGGTGGTTTTGCAATCTGCTTACTATTTTATGATTTTTTGGGCTCATCTGAAAGTACCCAGAAGGAAATTTGTAGTTGAAAGAACAGTGATTCAGATTCTCAGATTAACCCTTTAAGCTGAAATTCTAAATCTTGCTAGCGTTTTGAGTAAGCATTGTGTTTGTTGTGTATGAAATTTTTGATTTAGTGGAAAACAATGAAATGGGGTTTCGTTGGGTTTTTCGATTTCGGTGTGGGTGATTTTATGAGGATTGAGGAGTAGTTGATGATTTCTGATGTGGGTTTGTTGATACTTTGGAGTACTTTCACACTTTATTGTTCAGTAAATGAAATTTATGAAATATTTCAACGGAGCTCGGACTTGCTGATTGACATCGTGCCACTTTCAGCTGAATTCTGTTTGTATTCTAATCATTAATATGCACTGGTCCCTCCTTTAGAGAATTTCGAATGGTGGTTTGTAGGTTTCTGCTTTGAATGAGGCGGTTCCAGGAAGCGTCAAGTCGGTTTTCAAAGCTTGGGAGCAACGGCTGAATTCTAGTGGGGTAATGATCCCTTCGTTGTGATTTTATGTTTTATCTTCTTTTTCTGAAGGTGTGTTGCCTCCGAGCAAAACAATAGAGAGTTTTGCGAACGTTATTTGTAGACATCTTTATTAATGCAATAATGCAAATTTCGTAAGTATGTAAATGAATTTCAGAATGACATTTTCATGACAATATATTAGCTCAAGTTTAAGAGGTTACTGATTGAGATTCAGTTCAGGTTTGCCATATATTTTGGTGGTAATTTACGTTTGAATTTATAGGAATAAGAAGGCTCACTGGTCCTACTTTCTGCTACAGGGACACTTGGAGAGCAATGAGGGTGATCCTGAGTTACTTGTTTACATTCCGTGAGTGTCCCATTTTTGTTGTTTTATATCTTGTCGTTTATAACATGAGTTATTGACTGCGTGAACACGAAATGGATGGGGACAGGTAGATCCAGTGGTTCAGTAGTTCTACCATTTTCCATCTTTCCGTTCAATTTCAATGGTAACATGTGCCTGATTCTCCATAATCTGGTCTGTATAAGTTTGAGTAAGGGACTTAACCTCAGTAGCATCTTCAGGTTCTTCCAAAACATGACACTTAACATGTGCATCATTTTATAATTATCCTTTTGTCGTGCACTCAAAGCTTCTTTCGTGTTTCTTGAATGGCTTGAAATTTTGTGAAACCCGTAGCGTAGGAGATACAAGTAATGATGCTGAGGATTTATTCTATTTTTACTTTTCATCGCTTGTTTTCTGCAATCTATGATAATATAGCTGTACTTATTTATGAAACATTTGGTTGGCATCTTCAGAGATTTATTAGAAGTTAGAACCCAGTATTCTTTGATGTTGTTGCATACATCTAACTGAATTATATTTTTCTCATTTATTTTTGATAGATTTACATCAGATGTAAAGATCAAGAGCATATCAGTTGTAGGTGGTGTTGACGGAACAAGTCCTTCCAAGATGAGGGCGTAAGTTTGACCTTTTCTATACTCTACCTAAGGGAAGGCCTTCTTATATCGGTTTAGTTAGAATGGTGAGGCAAGAAGCTCTAGGATTTGAGTAATAATTCGTTTTACTCAAATAAACTCATTGGCAATCTTTTTGTCTTAAATGTACCACCATTTCCTTGCATCAATTTCAAATTTTCTTGTCTCGTCCATTTCAAGTTTTTGCAGTCAATACCTATGATTTGGAATTAACTTGGAATATCCAGGGAGTTTCTGTTCTCTTTTCATTATATTGTGGTGGTCATGAGTGTATGTAGCCCTGTATGAGTTTTCTGACAAAATAACTATTGAAACAGCTTTGATGGATGTTCAATATTCAATTCATCTCGTTTTTATATTTGTAAATACTAAAATTAGGACTGCATTGCTTAAATTAGGTTCATAAACAAAGAAGGAATTGACTTTTCAGATGCTCAAGGAATGCAAGCTGTTCAGGTATTGCGTTCACATTAGCTTGTTGCAGAGTTAATTGATAAGTTAAACTTTTCAGCCTTGAACATGTGTTCTTGTTGTTTTAAGGAGTGGGATCTGGTCGAAAATTTTCAAGGAACGTTGGAGTACCAGACAAGGTATTTATTCGTTGCCTCTCGTACTACAGAAACCATTTGTCGTAATGTTTGGGAACATGATATCTATAAAAATTGAGAGGAAATCTTATTCTTTTTCAATTGAGAGCACTGAAGGCAATCCCTTTGACTTGGTACTGAAATCAAGAGGATATCATTTTTATCTGAGTTTTTATCTAACCATTCAACAACCCTTCTGATATTACTTTTGTCCATACAATTAGATATTCCAAATTTCAAAACGTGGCCAGCATCACATTGCATTTTCCCAATAGTTTTGGTGGTGATACAACTAAGATAGAGTACATTGGCTTTAAAGGCGAAGCTACAAAGGTAATTTTCATTCCATATGAGTATATTTTATTGCGTCGGTTCTGCGAATAATAGATTTTCCGGTCTGACGAGCAGTTGAAGAGGGATGTTGTCGCAACAATTGTTTACGAACTCAGGCCAAATCCTTCCGATCATAAGTAAGTCGTCATTATCCCTGTGGAATCGTAATATTGGCCATTTTGAAAGAAATGTCGATTACTCCTTTATTTAGACATAGCAGGCGTCATTAAATCTCGCTTAACGGGCATTGCATTTTCTTTAGCACATCAGTTTACCAGTACAACTCCATCCATAGAACTTAATGTCCTGTCAATAGAGCTGATGTATGTGTATGTTTCGTATTTTGTCGATTGTTCTTATCCGTAGGACAAAGGCCGAAGGTGGGGGTCTCTCACATGTTGAATGAACAAGTCAAACGCTAACTGCGAACTGCTGTCTTCTTAAGGATTAAATACTCTTTGCAGTTTGTAAATTGGTACCTTAAAAACAAGAAAGTGCTGAATTGTTGTCACAATCCTTTTATCCGTGGCATCTTTATGGTTGGGAAATGTTGTTTTAATGAGACCAGACGGAGGTTCTGTGGCATTTTTTAGTTGAAAGTTTCAAATTTCATTCTTCTTCTCTGTGTTTTAATTGCTTTCTGGGTTTTCTAATTGTTGAGTAATCTGATTTTTGAAACCATACATTTCATATTTTCTTTGTAAATTTCTGTTTTTTCGTTTTTTTTTTTTTGTCAATTCCTTAAGACCAGACCAGGAAATCTCATCAGAAGCAACAAGAACAATCAAACGGGCAAAGCGGAGTGTTTCCAGCATCTGCATTGTTAATTCCCAACTCATCTTCTGTGTAAACCGTGAGTCCATCCTCCTTCTTTGTCTTCGGCTTCTCAGGTTTCTCAATCGCGTTTTCTTTTCGTTTTTCAGCCTTTCCAGTTTCGGTTTTCTTCTTCTTTTTCGCTGCAAATATTTCATCAATCTCAGAAACGGGCTTCTTTGCAGAAGGCACAGGGTTTTCAGCCTGAGAATCGACAAAAACTACAAAGATGAAAGGTAACCAAAGAAACTACGGAAAAGATGTGCGCAACTTACTTGATTATTAACCTGAGATGTCAGGGTGGTGTTTCCGCCAGACACATGACACAAGCTACTTGACGAGAGGGTTAATCCAGCAACACCAACTTTAAACATGCAGCAAAAGCCTTCCGATCTTCACCAGTCAAATACGCAACCTGCAACAATTAACAAGAACTTCATCAGGCCACTGAAATAACAGTTGTATAGCATCAAATCCAGTCACTGAAACTACGGACGTGGTTTCCGTATGTTGTACCCAAATTCAAAAACCAGTTCCAGAAAAGTAAACGAGTGTCATAATGTTTGTATGTAGCCAAAAATTGTAGCATGAAACCACAGAAAAGATTTCAAGCTATCTTCTATTGGCAAATTCATATCGGCTCCAAGCGGCAGTCAAGGCACCATCAAACTGGTTCTTGCTGTTGACTCGTATAGATAGAGCCTCCCTCGACACTTACAGGGCTTCCTAATCCGATTCGATCATCAAAATCTAACAATTAAACTAATTACAGATCTTTCATTCAGCCACATTGCATCAATGCAACACTAAAACCTACAATCTTCAGATTCCTCACCATTTAATCACTAAAAAGAGTAAAAATTTGGATTTAAAACACAAAACCCAACAAATTATTCATAAAATTTGGAAGATTTAGCTGCTTTAAATTTGAAGGAAAGCGTGGAAAAATAACATCTTTCCTCCAATCGTGATAGTAGCTATTTCTCGGCACCATGCAAAAGGTTGCTTGTTATTGGATTTAGCAACAAACACCCGTGTCTGACTGGAGTGCCCAAATTTTATTATTTTTCATAAATCCAACCAAAACAAACAAAAGGAGAGATTTCGAAAAATGTATAGCGGATATTGTGTCATGAAAAAATTGGGATTTTGAGTTTCAAGGATCTTCACCCACTACTGAGTTTTAGTTTTGGCTCCAAGCGGCAGTCGGGTCGCCACCAATCGGGCGCCTGCTGTTGACTCGAATATGGAGCCCCGATGACACCGTAATCCACAAACAAAACCCAAAACCTAAAACGATATAAACATAAAAAATGAAATTTAATTACCCAGTAAGCCAGTAAGAGCAAATTGCAGAAGGTTGGAGGTTCCGACGGAACTCTGGATTGGAAGTAGGCAGAGACTAAAGTAGAAGGCGCCGGAGAGACGGGAGAGGGAGCTAACCTGTAATTTATAGCTGCTGAGGCCGCCTAACCCTAACTGTACGAGGCATTACAAAGCCCACTTCAAAAGCCCACGATATTTTTGCTATTTGTTTGGGCTGAGCCCACTGCATTTGGTTCAGTCTTTGAGACTATTATCAAATGATTGGACCACTTTTAGAGTGTCCGTCCAAAATGGATGAAAATACTACTATGGAGAAGTACATGGGAGATGCTTTTCCAAGTTGTTCTTTTTTAAAAAAAAGGGAAATCACTTATTGTGATTACTGTGTATGATGAATTATACCGAAAATTTCCAAACGAGCCTTAAAAGTAGTTCCATACCCTATGATATAAGAATATAAACCTATTCTATGAGGTTTTTTTTAATTGTGAGAACCATCATGCGAGGTTTCAAAAAGCGCTTTAAAGTAAAATTTAAGCACTTCACTTCGATAAGTACTCAAATTTTTAATAAATTTTCAACATATTTTTTAATTATATTAAAAAATTACGAACTCTCAACCTAATCTACATCTACTTCTCAAAGAGTCACAGTATTAGGTTAAATAATCTCGGCTGGATCCCTTCCACCAAATTCTAATGATCAACAAATCCGAGTACTTGAAATTTGATCCAACTACTAGAAACAGGAGGTCCTTTAAAAAATTATAATAACTTTAGTCGTTAGATCAAATTTTAACGATACATATTAGTTAATTAGTAGGATTTGATAAGAAAGATCTGGAGATGAAAGCTTTCCAATAATCTCAATGGCAAAGCATGTCTTTTACACAAACCACCCTCAATCCATCCTCAGGCCCAATCGTTACGGCACGTGATATCCCGTGACCGCGGACTCGCCCTCGACAAAAAATGGTAAACAATGGCAACCGCCTTTTCGTTGGACTTGTCCGCGTGGACGTTTGACTTTGGAACACGTATTTCTCAACGAAAATTAGAAATCTCAGAGGAGAGAGAGAGGAAGGAGAGAGAGAGAGAGAGAGATAGGGGTTAGGCAGTGGAGCTCAAATCTTCTACACCCAAAAGTTAGGAGAGTCGAGAGACTTCGTTAAAAGCAAGTTCTGAAGACGTTCATTTTACGCTTCCAACGATTCGACGAAAGTTTTGGGATTTTTTTTGCCGCCGCCGACCGCCATGGACGCCGCCGCATGCTCTCGTGTTCTTCCTCAGATCAACCTCTCCATTCGGATCATAGATTATCCACGTAAGCCCTCGAAATCATAATTGTTTCTCTGTTTTTTTGTTTTCCAAGTTGGATCAGTAAAGTTGGCTTTTTATTTAATTAGATTTGTGTTTATAATTAATCGCGCGAGAAGATCCTAGATATTTCTTGGGAGAGAGCTTTGGATTGTATGTCAATCTTGTTTCCTGGAAAATTGCATTGAAAATAAGCATTTTCCGGGCAACCAAACAGAAAGTTTGCATTTTCTTTCGACAACCAAACAGGAGCGTTGAATTATGGCAATCGAATTATGCTTGGGTTTTGGTTTATTGGTTTCGCTAAGCTGAGTTTTTGACTAAATGTGTAAATTTGTACTTTCCTAGCAACCAAACGAAAATGTTTGCATTTTTACGACAACCAAACAGGAGCATTGAATTATGGCAATCGAATTAGAGTTTTGGTTTATTGGTTTCAGACTTTCATTTAAGCTAGCTAAACTGAGATTTTGACTGTCTAAATGTAATTTAGTGGTAGGTCGGGACCTGCCTCTTTCCATTCATCCAAGCGATTGCTAGTTCCGAAACAGCTCACAGTTTCTTGCTCTACACCGATTGATAAAGGAAATGACATGTTTGGAGTATCACATTGTTCTAAGAAAAACCCTGTGGGGGAAGTATTATGCCCTGCGGGTGTATGCACTTATGGTGGGACTGATGTAGAGTCTCATTCCCATGCTGCGGAAGAGAAAGTTGGAGTGCTGCTTCTGAATCTTGGAGGACCCGAGACGCTTAATGATGTTCAGCCGTTTTTGTTCAATCTTTTTGCTGACCCGGTATGTTCATCTGCTTTTGTTGCCTTGCCTTATTGGTGTCAGCATTAGTTATTAGCTTAATACACTCATTACTAACATATTCCCATGTTGTGTGAAACAGGATATCATTCGTCTCCCAAGGTTGTTTCGGTTTCTCCAGCAACCATTAGCGAAATTAATTTCTGTACTTCGAGCTCCAAAAAGCAAAGAAGGTTATGCTTCTATAGGAGGTGGTTCACCATTGCGTAAAATTACAAATGAGCAGGTAGAGCAATATGCATAGCATGCCTGTTGAAATGTTTCCTTTAGATTTTATTTGTATAATTAGGTGGCTTTTGCTACTTGTTACAGGCAAATGAACTCAGAAAGACTCTGGAATCAAAGGACTTGCCTGTCAATGTCTATGTGGGAATGCGTTATTGGTACCCATTTACTGAGGAAGCAGTTCAGCAAGTGAGTCTTAAATTTCAGTAACCTAGTATTATTTTTATACATGCCGTTGGTTCTAGGCAATGTAAGGGACATGGGAAAATAGAATTGTAACCTAAAAGTCTCCCAACGATTATATTGGTTAGATTCATTGAATTTGTAGTTAGTCATCATGGGGCATCTTGTAATTGAATGGATCAAATGACTGAACTTTTTCCCACATTATCTGTGACAGATTAAGAAAGACAGAATAACCAGGCTTGTTGTCCTGCCTCTATATCCTCAGTTCTCTATCTCTACAACTGGATCTAGCGTTCGTGTGCTCCAGGATATTTTCAGGTGACCATTTGCTGTCACTGTCAGTTTATGGAACCAAGTAAATGTTTGTTTACGATGGTCAATTTTCTGAATGTGAGCGCCCATCTTGCAGGAAAGACGCCTACTTATCAAGGATGCCTGTTTCTATTATAAACTCATGGTATCAACGTGAAGGCTATATTAAGTCAATGGCCGACTTGATTTCCAAAGAACTAGAAAGTTTTTCCGAGCCTGCAGAGGTGCGCTTGATGTTTCTATCGAACATATGCTTTAAATTCGTCAGAAATGGCTCTTTTGATGCAATTAAGTTTCATTCTCTCTTTGGTTTATAGATGTTGCTATTGAACGTATGCTTTCATTGTATGGTTATTCCCTGAACTGCACAGCTCCGGTAAACATTGCTAATTTTGTATGAAATTCAGGTCATGATATTCTTCAGTGCCCACGGAGTGCCGCTCAGTTATGTGGAGGATGCTGGAGATCCTTACAAAGATCAAATGGAAGAGTGCATCTTCTTAATAATGAAAGAGCTGAAATCTCGAGGAATCAACAATGAACATACTCTTGCTTACCAGGTGGGTTATGAAATTCTATTTTCTGACTCGTACACTCCATTTCCCTTTTCTATCTTTCTTGGTTCTCAGAACAAGCGTTGGTTGTTGTCCACCATGTCTGTCGCCAAATTTCTTGATGTTGTTTTCTGATTTTCTTTTCCTTATTTTGGGGTTGCGTGGTGGTCAGAGCCGAGTTGGTCCTGTGCAATGGCTAAAGCCCTACACTGATGAAGTTCTTGTTGAGCTTGGCCAGAAAGGCGTGAAAAGTCTCCTAGCTGTTCCAGTCAGGTATTTAACTTCGTTTCTGGCCCCGGGCATTATTTGGTTTTTTTTTTTTCTCTCAAAAGTGAAGTAAGTTAATTTGGACATCTATTTTCTTATCCAGCTTTGTGAGCGAGCACATAGAGACTCTTGAAGAAATTGATATGGAGTACAGGGAATTGGCCCTCGAATCTGGCATTGAGAATTGGGGTCGAGTCCCTGCCCTTGGTTGCACTCCTTCGTTTATAACAGACCTCGCAGATGCCGTGATAGAAGCTCGTACCACTTGCAACAGCCATGTCAACCCCACAAACTACCTCAGAAGTAGCCGATCACGACCCTGTGAGATACGCTATCAAGATGTTTTTTGGTTCCTTTTTGGCCTTCATTTTGTTATTTTCTCCAATGATAATGGCATTCAGGAACACCTGATTTAAGGAAGGTATTAAGCAGTCACTTAGAATAAGAGTCGAAACACTACGAAGAATCCCCCATCCGCTTTTTGCAGTTTTCATTTTGTTCTTTAACCCATCAGTTGACCCTCATACTCCATATCATTTATGGAACAAGCTTTTTGCAGTTTTGCAATTTCTTCATAAATATAATTTTTTTTTTCTTTTTTCAATTTCTTATATAGTTTGGTGCTTTGATTCAAGAAGATATCTTAGATTCTACTTTGTACGTTTTGGATGTTATGATTTGTACTAAAGCTGGTTTTAAAATTACTTATTGAGCATAAACATCTGCTTCTGGTGTCATTCTGCCATCTCCGATCGGACTCGCAGTTTCCTTTCGATTTCTCCCTTGTAGCCGGCACCCCAACTCGCCGGTCCAGCATCCTAAATACATGTTTCTAGTTTAGATGTAAAATAAATAAATTGAACGGTGATTTATGTACGAATTTGCAAAACCAACTAAAAATCGTGAGTGTTATTCCACGTTTTTTGTAAAAAAAAATGCAAATTTTTTATTTTCTTGAAATATTTTCTGTGAGCATTAAGGAAGTCTAAATAATTGCATTCAGAAGTAGATTTACGATTTATTGAGCAACAAGTGTATGTTTAGTAGAATATTTAAGCCAAAAAGTAAAAAAATAAGTGAAAAGTA